ACAATTACTGAAAAAAATAGAATTTTTCTATAGGCCATCTAGAGTGATAAAGGGTTCATGTTGTGTCATTGTGACCCGTTGAAGAAATTCCACAGCTCCTGGAATCGCAAGGATTTTACGTGATTTTTAATGGTAAAACATCTGCAAACTTAAGGGAATGCCATGGGAAAGCGTTTCGCCCCTTCATGGCAGAGTGGGAACGTGAGGTGTTACCCCTTTGTCCATTTGACCCATTGTTTGAAATTTTCAATAATCAACCTCCATTAAACTTACTGCCAACAATAGACCCGAGAGCATAATTTTTATAGATACCACTTTTTTCAAAAGAGACTCCATAGCAGAAACGAATAAACTTTATATTAAGGTATATTTTAAGGAAACTGATACGCATCAACTCCTGCACAAGAGCTCATTTCACCCAGAGCATACCGTTTCTGGTAGGTATGATTAAGTCACAGGTTTTACGATTTCACCGAATTTGCACAAGATCAAGGGATTATAACCAAACCTGTACGATTTCTCGAAACTAAACGATTTTTACGAAATTCCACCTTAGTGAATATAAGAGCTAAGAAAAGATCCTATGTCTAAATACCTCCAGGCTTAAGGATTGCTCCTTATCAGTCAAATAGATATCAAAAAGTGTCCCTTTATATCAAAAATCATTTTTAATATGTAATATCACTAAGAAAAGGTATTCTATTCAAAAGCGTCTAACATGTGAAACCTCGAATTTAGTTTACTTAATTTCATTTAAAAAAAAAATATCCCAAACAATATGTAGGAGAAATCTAAAAATAATTTACCCACGCGGTAAACGGTCCAAAGATCATTTCAACGTGGACGACGTTTCATCAGACAATCTTACCCTAACTATTGAGCGCCGGAAACTGAAACAACCCATTTCCGTCAAGCTAGGAAAGCCCATTGGATTGAGACACTAAATACAGCAAGACCGATAGGACTTTTTAAGCCAGATATCGCGTCTATCCTACCTTACTACAATGATATTAGAAAGGATTCATTCAAAGCATTATTATTGATGAATTAGTGTAAGTTGATTATTTGCGAGATCGTGATGTATTGTACTAGATTTAAAACAAATGCATCCTCTGAATGCAAATTCTTGTTTCAATTATTTGACTGGTTTTCGTCAGTCCTCGTGCCGACTATAGAAGCCCGTGGCTGCCTCTAACATGCGTTCTGTGCACACTGGTTTTCTCTCCTTTTGACTTGATAAACGTATTTCTATCAACCCACAGAATAACCCAAAATAATTGAAAACAGGCGGATAGAAACGAGCGAACACAGCACACGGGATCTCGGTTTATTGTCCCATCCGAACGACTAGACGCTTTTACCAGGTTTTCCCCTTTTACCTGCATCACTGAAAACGGGTTGAAAAATCAGATGGTTTCATCTCTCGGATTGAACCCTGGACATTCAGGTTACCAAGAAAAAGTCTTAACTCACTGAATTTTAGAGGACTGCAAGCAAGTCGCGAATCGTGATAGCATAAAAGAAGTTATTCGTTGTTAATAAAAGCAAGATGTAAGAAATGAAATCCTAGAGTATAGTGATTAAACTTTAATCTTCCAGTTCAAATACCATCAACTCCATTAAATTAAGATATTGTTTCGATCTTGGACTGATGAATATAAATCTTGAAGAGAAACTGACTCCTGGTTGGTTACACGATGTTATTTTGTAGACTGAGCGACCAATTGATTCAGTATCTTTGTAACATACTGGGCTTCCATTAAATGTTTCGAAATCGCAATGTCCATTATTACTCAACTTTAACTCGAATCCCGCCAGTCTATTGAGCAGGGCTAAAAAAAATGAATATTAGTATAGGTTCTAACTATTAACACATCTCGATTGTCACCAGCCAAGATGAAATTTCAACTTAATAAACAATATGGATAACAAGCAATTTACGTCCATTTTCCTCATACATTTTCAGTATATCAAGGGCGGTAACCTATCTGTGTCAAGATATTGTTGATTTAAACAAACACACATTATTAAATAAATTCTGACATAAACTGTCACCTCTATTGCGTTAACAAGCCAACAAATTTTGATGCCTTTCTACCAAGTCAATGGCAATAACTCAAATTCTGTTAATCGAAAAATCGTCAAATTCAATCTTGACTAAGATCTCATTATAAATGATCATACCAAATTTCATTTAAATCGGATGAAAACTGTAGTAGATGTTGTGTTCACAAACAAATTTTGACACGTTTTTCATAATTTAAGGGAAATAACTCAAAAACCGTTCATCAAAAGATAGTCATATTCGAACTTGTCCAACTTGTCTCTACTGCGTTTACAAGTCAATTGTGGACGGACTGCGGCGACGACAATATACGACCACATTATAATGTGGGCGTATAAAAATGCTGTAAAAAGTAATTTAGCCATCGGAGGCAACACATAAAAAATTTGACATTTTTTAAAATTAGACGAGGAATAACGTATTGTAGAATGTTCCAAATATATGTTCAAGTAGTAGGCCTGGCTTAATTTTTAGTGTTGCCCACAGGCAACTTAAAGGCACATTCCGCCTTTTTGTAGGTCGAAATTTGTTTTCTAAAATTTTTGAAAACTATACACCAAAATCTTAAGAAATGTGCCCTTTAACTTATCTGAAAGTATTATCTATAAAATCCATCCGTAAATATTAAAACGACAAAAATATTTAAAAACATTACGCAAAGTTTTCACGTTCTTTATGCTGTTTGCAATGTTAGAAAACTACTGTACTGTAGAGAAATATGTGCCTTACATATTCTTAAGATTTCAACTAATAATACCGAGCCATTATAAATC